TTCCGAAATTGCTCAGGAATAACTCGTGATCCCAGGAAGTTTAAGCGATTATTGTCTTGAATTTGAATGAAAATTGGCTACGATTTATATTTGTTACGTCAGCATATTTGTGATGTCAATATATGTTACGTCTTACTGGTTGGACTATTATTGGTCGGTTTCGTCTTGAAATAGGCATAGGAAAGAACAAAAGGTTTTATCTGATGCTATGTGAAAATGACACATCGACAATAACACCTTATTCTTGATTACACCTATTTCAGAACAAAAAAAAGAACTTCCTGACTACACCTTTACAAAAAAGGGCCCGCGGTGGCCAAGGGGTTAAGGCGTCTGGCATTCTGCTACCACTAGACATCCACCACTGGGTCGCGTGTTCGAGACCTACGTGGGCCAGTCGCCAGGTACAGGCCGTTGGTCGGTGGTTTTTCTCCGGAAACTATGACTTTCCTCCACCATCAAAACCTGGCACGTCCTTAAACGACCGAAGCTTTTAATTAAGGTTTGAAATGCGTCTTTTTAACATTTATGAGGGTATGCAACACAGCTCCGTTCAAACATATTCCATGATGCGGGTTAGCGAGATGCATTTCAAACCTTATATTTACGTTCTATTACATCAACTTTTATTATATGAAATTAAGAAAAAAAAATCTTTTTTTCACGTTAAAAAGCAAAACACCGTCATCAAAACAACATTAATTGAACAGCCTTTTTCGTGGGAAAGATGATGAGTTGCCAACGTTGACAAAATACACAGTTGAGCAATTAAACCACTTTGTACATTTCTTATGATTTAATGTATAGAACCAGCATGTTTATCAAGCATTGATTATCCTAAAAATTGAAAGTAGATTTTAATTTAAAACAAAAATACCCTATACAATATTTTAGTTGCAAAAAGTTAGAAATTTATTCCGTGTTGGCGGAGATAGCTGACCATTAAAAAACGGTTGTGCATCGGCTACGCTTTCAACAAGATAGAAAGTGAATCTGTGAAATGTGGAGTTTCCTAAGTTTCCTAAGAAACCAGATGACGACTTAAAAGATGATGTTGGCTGATTTCTTGTGTCGATTGACTGTGTCAAGAAGACTAGCTCATCGTTTGAGCATTCGGCATGTGTTACTATCGATGAGGGGACTGGTCGACGAGCCGGGACGATTTCCCCTGCTTCGCCACTTGCGGATTCTGTTCCGTTGAAAAGGACCTGTTATAGGATACGCTTCGGTGGCTCGACATAAAGATGATGTGCCTTGATTCAAACACCAGTCATTCCATATTCTAGGGACACACCCGCGACGTCGCTGTCAGACATATTGACTGGTGCACAGGGGTTCTTATAAATGTGTGTGGCATGAGTTAGGCCTAGCACACGACGTATTTTAGACTTTGAGTACGCGGACTTAAATTTCTTTAAAAATGGTAATTTCTTGTTGATAGTATCACAAAAAGGATTATTAAAATGTATTTACGTGTATCTTAACCGTTGATAAACAATCTCNGGGGGGGGAGGATGACATGGAACGGTACATGTAGTACTGTTACTATCACTACCCACTTGATTTTATTGAATCATGCAAACATTTTCAGTTGGTACTGTTAGCTAGAGACACTGCAACACAAATGTAAATATTAGGACGTAAAACACAAAAAAAACGAACCAAACACCTATAAATAGCTACACCTATTTCGCGTAACATATATGAATAGCTATGATTACACCTATTTCACGTAACATATATGGATAGCTATGATTACACCTATTTCTTGTAACATATATGAATAGCTATGATTACACCTATTTCACGTAACATATATGAATAGCTATGATTACACTTATTTCAACGTAACATATATGAATATCTATGATTACACTTATTTCAGGTTACATAAATAAATGACCATGACCTTGGTCAAAAACAATATAGTGTTATTATTCAGCTGATATCATATTGACCCAGTTATTAGGACGAGGTATGTGACTTCGGCCTCGGGCCAATATCACAGACCAAGGCCTAATAACTTGGCTCATATGATATCAGCTGATTTATGACCCTTTTATTAATTAACAGTGAATATTTGGAATACATAAATTTAGACAATAGTTCAAGAATAAAAAAGTAAAATAATTTTATTTCATACTTTTCCAAATTCTACCGAGACATCAGCAAATCTACTGATGTTAGCCCGAGCGTCACTGTCGTCTGCTGCTGGGGGAACAATGTTGACATTCTTCGAATTTTCAATTTCCTCATGAGTTAATATCAGTTCTTTATCCGTAGAAACAATGTCGGATAGAAAATCATACCTGTCTTCAATTAATACCCCTAACATATCCTCCCCACTTTTTGCATGTTGATCACCTGTCCTCTTGATCAGCGACTCCTACATCACGTCCATTGTTGTTGTTTGTGTTGACACGGGACGGTACGTAAAAAAAACCCAAAAAACACGAGAAATTCCGAATGAAGTGCACGCTCGCTTTGGTGCATTTTTCATATTGGTCGAGTTGAAAGTCGGCCAATATCGGGGAAAAGTCGACCAAAATAATTTTGGCCGAGTTGTGGTAATTTTATCAATATAGGCCGAGTTTGGTTTGCTCGGCCAGAAAAGACATACGAATGTAATATATTAGATCGCTAAATAATAAGATGTGATATGAACCTTAAATGTGATGTTCGCCTCGGTCAATTACATTTTCAAATTCATATAATTTCATGTACATGTATGTACCAGCAGAAATAATTATTCTGGCTCTTTTCAGTAAAGACAAACGAAGACTATAGTACGTTAAAATCCGAGAGTGTTTATAAAGACGGCATAAGTAAATGAACTATTGTACCTTGTTCGTATTTTCCGTAAAAATGTTTTTTTAAGGATATTGAATTGCATATAAATGCTCTTTACAAAAGGAATTGTGCACCTTGGCTGAGTCAATGAAAGCCTCCTCACGAATTTCTCAGTGTTACTTTCCGAGAGCAGTGCTAATCTCTTTTGTACTTTCATATCGGTAGCAATGGTCTTTTTAATGAGTCAGGCCTATCTTATTTAGTGTTATAAAAGTTCTAATTCTAATCTGTTGTCTTGGTCATCAATATCAAGAACCACCCCATCAAATTTACTTCGTGTACCTGTCTAGCGAATCAATTACAGCATTGATAAGTAGTACAGCGCATAGCAAATTACTATCGTGAGAAATAGTGAAGTGTACCTACTGTTTGAAATATTATACTGTAAAAGTACTGATTTTAGCGGACTCAAATCTAAGCGTTTTCTAGAATTGAGCGGATTAAATCTAGCATAAATAAATTAGCGAACTCACAATATGCTCAATAGAAAACAATATGTAAAATAATTAATTAGCGAAATTATAGTTTAGCGGAATTATTTAAAGCGACAAAAGAGCTAAGATTAGCACACTGTTAAAATATGTACGTTTACAGTATTACAATGTACATATTATAATACATAGAAGTGTACAGTGATCCAAAGTTTATCAAACTAGTACATTCTATGCATAATTCAATAACAATTTACCTGATTCCCTTAAGGCCGAGCGGAATGCTGTGCTGAGTGCCTTCGGCATGGTATTTCAGTGAGATAGCACTACAAAGTCGGCATCGGATCTGCGTTGTCACAAGGAGGCAAGTACACCAACATACCTTCCCTCTAGCACACATACACACATGCACGATTAAACGAGTGAAAGAAAAACTTGTTGAGAACTTGCAGGACTTTCAAATCAGAGTTTTCACCAGCACGTTATGTCAAGCTCGTTCGACAAAAGGGCAAACGAAGAATACTTTGCAATTTGTGATGTGATTTCCTACCTCTTACAGTGAAAACTGGCAGATACGCCCGTGATTCAACTTCAGGAACGCTTATGTAAGATATGTACAAATGTAAATAATCATACACAGGATGAATTACACTTTTACATGGAATGTTATATCTTTAATGATTTCAGATCATCCTAATTAATTTAGCAAATAACATTAGAAATGGTATGACTATTCTAAATAGCACAGATTAGTTTGATAATGTCATCTGAAGAATTAAAAATTCCACTTGCAAATCACTTTTATGTTATGTACAGAAGACGTAACAGTTTAGGTGATAAACTAATATAAATAAGTTTCATTATTGTCTTGCAAGCCAGTTTCGACTGAGTATCACATAGAATTACATTTTCCAATTGTTTGCATGTAGTAACTCTGATAAAAAGGATTGTTCAAAAACATTTCTTTTGAAATTATTTCTCTCATTTTTTAAATGTTATTTTGTATCCTTACATGTTTGTCTAGTTCATGTATAATACGCAACTAAGTAGTGTGTATTGAGCGTACCTAGGGATCGACGCTAATTATTGAAGTGCTCAACGTGGGGTGGACATATTCGTACAGTATGCCCTATTGTGGCCGTCTAGACTGTGACGATAGATTTACTAGACTGAAGCATAGGGGTTTGTTACACATGCTCTACTGATAAAGAATGTGTGATTTGACCCATATCAGTTAAGTAATATGGTACTGAATATAATTGTAACGGACCCCTGTGACTTAAAAGAACCTGGATTGTATTGTGAGTTACCCGTATGTAACTGCAGCTCTGTGTTGGTGTCTCACCTTTATGCCTAGCTGTATTGGGACTTACCTCAAAAACTCATCGATAAAGGGCTTACAAACCACAACATCACACACATTAGGTACGGTCATACCTATAGTCCGACTTGAGGTATTAATGCAATCGAAATTGTATTTTGTAAAGTTAAAATTTGTGCTCCGTGTCGTTCTACATAGTATGGCATAAACTGTTATTGGAAACTATAATACAGTGTAGGGTATTATACTGGAACTAAAAATCAATGGTGGAATGCAATGCTATTTTTATGAGTCAAATATACAAAGTATGACCAATATCTATAATTAAAACGACAATCTCATTCTTTACATTGCGCATGTACATAACATAACCACCAGTTCCTTGTTGACATTGACAACGGCGACAAGATGGCGTAAGTATGTTTTACTATGTCACAAGTTCCGCTTATGAACTATGTAACTCTTATGGTTGTGTGCAATATTTGTAAATCTACATATCTACACATGTGTCATCGGTGTCAATTTATCCTTTAATATCGCCAAAGTATAGTTTAATGTCACTCCGTTGGGCAATAGTGACAAAAACAAATTCAAACTGTTATTGATAACATAACTGATATGCTAATCTATGTGTTGTTAACTGCAATACTGTCTTTTATATGTTTTTTTCATATTTTTTCATAACATGTCCCCTTATCACCATGAACGATTTGTTGATAGTCTCACTCGGGACCGACGCTAAATGGAGTGGGGTGGAGGTATTCGTACAGTAGGCCCCAATGTTGTCGTCTGAAACTAACCTGGAATGTATCGTTCATTTACCTGTATTTGTCAAGGGTTCTGTGTGGGTGTCACACCTTTATTGCTAACGGTATATAAAAGGCTTACAAACAACAACACACACACGTTTGGTACGGTCATACCTATGGCCAGATTTGAGGTTTCATGGAATTCGAAACGAAAGTGAAATTATATCATTGAAACGAAAGTGAAATTATATTATATATATATACGAAGGCTTATTAACTTGTTCATTAAACTTGATTTAACTTGTTCAATCTACAAATAATCAAAAAGGTGTGAACAAGTTTTACAAATTGACAAAGTTGAGATAAATGAAACATACTAGTATGATTTTTTAACACGAAGACACAAAAACCAGTCACAACAGTTCAGATATACAAGCCTATATGCTTATGCAGCTTATGTTACTTTAGCCTTAAGAATTTAAAAGACTTTCTATTAATTTTCAGGAATAAACCGTCAACTTCTTCCGTGCTGCCTTTGAAAAGGTTTGTTTTCCTGATTGAAGTTAAACTAGCTATGGATATTAATATTAAGAAATAAATAATATACATACGTATTGTTTAGTTGAATAAACATCATGGTAGGGAATATATTTCAAGTTGAATAATCTCCAAGCCTTCGTCCTGACACTTGCAAAATGTACTGAATATATATATTTCACCATAATATACAAACATATACGGATTTTATCTATTCTATCATGCTACAATATTATTGAACGTGTTTTCGTGTCGAAATCATCAGTGTTTATAAGGTAATATGGCCTTCATCATCCAGTTCTTTTATATTCTTTATGGGTTTTTTAATCATGTACATACATGGACAAACTATGCCCAATATTTATATCATTAATATGACACACACAACTGATATAACGTATTTCAACCACTGCAGTTAATGGGCCTGTTTTCCAGTTTCCACGATGATGTATACGGGAACTATAACAGTCAAACGTCTACACATGTACCGCTATTGAACAAAGCAAACTCTTCCAAGAGTTTCCATTGTTTACATTATTGCTCAGGAGGACTTGTAGAAGAGCATTTGTCGTTCAATGATACAGATTCGACATGCACGCCGTGACTGTTGCCAAGCAATGAATAGTCATTAACTAATGAAAAAGAGTCCTTACCTGAGTGACTTGCTTTATTGTTCAACGATACATGTATATGAGTATTGGTATAAAATATCGGACGTACTTACTGATAATGAAAAACCACGGAACGGAGTGGTGCTTCAACACATTTCCATCCGATATTAGGCAAATTCTCATTCCTTTAATCATTCAGTCGGGTAGAATTTGTTTAAATTATAATAGATGAAACGTCGAAATACGTTTGAGATACTGTTAACAAATGTGTGCATTTTGATATGAAAGCTATAATAAGACCTAATAAATGAATCTTTAAATTTCTTATATAGATGTGGGCACAGCCTCTTCACAATAGCAAGGACTTACAAACAATCAAAACACACACGTTAGGCATACAAGGTGAAAGTACATGCATTATGAACTTATCAAGTTATTTGATCCACAATTAATCAATTTTAATGAAAAATATTGTATTATGCCGTCACAATTATTTTTCAGGAAAGCTACATCAGAAATGGAAAAGCCACTTCCCTCCGGGAAGTCTGTTAAAAGGTATATTTGCTTGTCTTAGTAATAAAGCAGTAATGTAATATTTTAATATATTTTAAATCAATTATTACACCGAGACATTTCGCTTGGGAAACATTGTGTAAATCTTTTAAATAACTAGGGAATATCATAATCTTTTTTGCAGCTAAAAAATGGAAACATAATGATATCAAAATTTTGATATAACTTGAGAAATGAATATTGAAACTGTTTTTATGAACATTTATTATTTATTTACTGATGCAATTTGATGAAGAATATGGACACATTGTATGGTTGACAATATAGGGATATACTCTATTAAACTAGATATATGAATGTCGATGCATTTTATTATGCTTACTAGTGCACTCTCTACCTTGCTCTCAATTTGAATTTGTTAAGTTTAATTTTACCTAAATGTACATGGTAGGAGTTGTTGTGGAGTATCCGGAGAAACCCTGGTCTGATTCTCCTTATTTTTCCCTATGGTCTCGTGTACATATTTCATTTGTGTTTATAGTGACCTACTTCCATCGATTTTGAGTTTGCATAAGTATTTTGTTCGTTCACACACCAGTATTCGCATTTCCCCTATTTGTTTAGAAGGTGGGAAGTTGGATTTGGGTATAATTATTTTGATATCGTCAATTCATGTGATTTCGATGCACCAAATATAAAGTGCTACAAAAGTGTATTAGAATTACTAAGTTATAATGTTTATCAAAATCAATCCTGACTTTGTGACGTTATATATATTCCCTGAAAGATAAAGTTATGCTGGCATTAATGGTATAAACGCGAACAAAACTCTTTCAATGCATAAACATCAAAAATATCTTTTGTAGACTGTTTCATAAATTTGACTTTATCCGTACTGCAAAGTTTACCAGTAGATTAGATTCATAAATACTTAATTTTGCGCTTGAGAAGATGTAATTTCAATGTTGGTAGCAATTATCAATGATATTGATATTCAAAGACAACATCGCTAATACTGTAATGAAGTATTTCAGCGACAATAACAACACAAACATTTATATCGTGGAAGCATTGTTCGTTCCTGATGTCCTGTTATCACGAATCTCTCAAGTGCGTGTACTGAAAATGTGCGTGCAAGGTGATCATTACCGGATTTGTGCAATTGTGATATTTGTTTAATAACTCAACATGACAAACTAGCGGATTCAACAACAAAGCGTGTTTTTTTTGTATTCTGATTGGTCAATATTACAAAATAGGGATGAAATTGACAATAGACAGGCATGCCTAGCATTAAATCTAGAATTAATACAAAGAGAGGTAACTCTTGCATGTATATGTATATATACAACAATTAATATTTACATTTGCGTCCTTCCATTGCATTGCATTGAGTAGGCAAATGTTGTTGTGAGACTATACCAATATTTGCTATTGTAACATCTTCAATCTCTATTGTGACGTCATCAATTTCAATTGTTGTCAAGACTTAGTTTGCTGTTCAAGAAATTGTTTGAAATAACTAAATAAAACATAACTACTCTCTGAAAATGTAATATTTTTATGGTCCTATAACCAACATTTCTATTGCTGACAAACTTATATAAATAAAGCCCTGTTGGGCTTTATTCAGTTTGTCATTTATAGTAATGTGTGTTATAGGACCATAACAACATTAGGTAAACATTCATTGCTTAAATATCAGAAACTCTATTTCGATTTGATAAGGTGTTACTAAGCACATACATAGGTATGTAAAAATATGATATTATGCTTACCTGATATATTTTAACTTGTTTTGTGTTTTAAAAGATGTATTCTCTTAACATAACTTCAGAAATAAGTTCTGCATTCGATTTATCTTATTTTGACGACAAAGCGATTATCATGATACAGGGAAGGTGGGAGACAATTCGAAAGTGAAAGTACAAATGTATGTTTATTGGAATAAAATTGTAACAATAAAACCATACCATATAGATCACTGAAAGTATCCATGTCATTCGGAGGTAACTAGTTCAGTATATATTTACTAGGTCTTTTAATATTAACATAACTCATTGTATCCGAAAATAATTTTTGCACGGAATACATACAATTCTCCTCCGCGAATAAGTTATCTGCAGCAGCCAAAAAGCAATGTCAATTTGCAACTGGTTTGTAAGGATATTTTTGGCACGTTCCCCCTCCTTTTTTTCATTTTCTACGTACATTCATGTTTCAAAACAAATAAAGGAAAATACTGAAATTTTACCAAAACCTTAATTAAATCTCAAGATCGTTACAAGTAAGGTAAAAAAATGATCAAAGCAAGGATTTACATTGAGACCATTGATTCACATCTGCTTTAAGTCCATAATGGACAAATGTACATATGGTGCACTGACATTGTTACCCTTGTTCTGCTTAAAGGTAAAAATAAATAGTGCTGGACTATAACCTATACATGTTATAAGTATTATATTTTAAATCATGCAGTTTTAAGTCCATTTTCATTCTGCTCGATTTCCTAGCAAACGTGTGTATGACGGTGAGTCGGGTAGCTACTCTGACGAATCTGAAGATGAAATCGAGTCTATAGATGAAATCGAGTCTATAGAGGAAATCGAGTCTAAAGATGACATCAAACCAGTTGCAAAGCCAGATATAAAGGTAAAATTGACTTAGCATGTGTTGTAAGTAGACGATCCCTTAAAAAAGAGAGAGACACAGAGAGAGACATGGGACGAGACAGACACAGAGAGACAGAGACAGACACAGAGAGACAGAGACAGACACAGATAGACACAGATAGACACAGATAGACAGAGACAGACACAGACACAGACAGACACAGAGAGACAGAGACAGACACAGAACGACAGAGATAGACACAGAGAGACAGAGACAGACACAGAGAGACAGAGACAGACACAGAGAGACAGAAACAAAGACAGAGAGACAGAGATAGACACATACACAGAGAGATAGAGACAGAGACAGAGACAGAGTGACAGACACAGAGAGATACAAACACAGACACAGAGAGACAGAGACAGATACAGACACAGACAGATACAGACACAGACACAGAGAGACAGAGACAGACACAGACAGAGACAGACACAGAGAGACAGAGACAGACACAGAGAGACAGAGACAGACACAGAGACACAGAGACAGACACAGAGACACAGTGCACATGACACTGATATGTGATGCACTCCATGACACAACTATCACGCTGATTATTCCCTTCTCTTTAAGATTCACACTGTATATAGTGTTGCCGTTTGTCTTCATTTTGGTCAGCTATACTGATAGATAAAGCGATGTATAAATATAGAACAATCGGAATGAGGCAATAAAGAATGTACGGGTCCTAACACAATTTGATCGTAATTTTTCATTCAAACAAAGTTTATTGGATAAAAAACAAGAGGAAATAGCCAAATGGAAGGAATAACATTGAAATTATTAAAGAGTCTCTCCATGGGTGGACAAAAAATATTTGCTATGGTTCAAACTTTTTGTTTTTAATCATGTGATGCAATACAGCTCTTTGAATAGTTTCTTTAATGTTCCTTTCAACTTTCTTGCTCAGAGCTTACCAGGCTTTCTGCCTACCGATGTAACACTGGTGGTCGAGGAAACACAACTTTATGTTAATAAAGATTTACTCTCATCAGCTTCACCTGTATTTGATGCTTGGCTTAAGAAAGAGTGGCAACAAGACGAGTGCACTGACGACACAAAAAGGGAGCTAAACTTCCCTAGAAAAAAATATTATGAGATGGTCACATTCCTAAAATGTCTTATGCCAATTTTCGCTGACCAAGTTACAAGTAATTATGGAAAACGATGATGAATATATGACCTAAAACATACTAATTTAGTAATAACACGACTTAACAAAATTAACCAGGTATTGCCATATGAACAATAATTTAATTTTAACGCATTTTTTACTTTTTAAAACAAATATAGCTCAAATATTTATAAATATATACATATTTTAGCGTTTGAAGTGAAATTCTTCGATAATCAGACTCTCTGCAAGATAAATATGATTTTTGAGCACACCAGGAATAACTCTAAGTTTTGTATAATGTGTATTTAAAATAGGGTTAAACATTGTTGATTTTGGCATTAGCATTCAGCATTTGCAAAAACCACAAAATGGTGGAACAGTTACTAGTTTCAGCTTGTAAAAGAATATATAGGACCTTAATTGTGCTGTTTTTCATTAAACGTTTTAACGAGCTTACACCAAATCACAATAGTGTCCTTTTAAGGTTTTTGAAACAAAATGGACATCATTATTACACTTCCATTTGGAGTTTATATGTATATTCTTATCCTAACATTCTCTCACGAATATAGCTTGCCTCATGAAACACTTTCCATTATGACGATAAAACATTGTATTCGCCACTCTCTGTGCATGTTAAAAAGTTGAAAATATGGCTAAATATATCTTTTACAAGACAAGCTACTAGGTAATCTTAAAGCAGTTATGATGTATGACTTATCAATTAAAATAGAGTATCTATATTTCTATTATATGAGAGTTATGTTTCTTTCACAACTAGAAACGAATCAACCTTAAACCTTGGCGAGCATGGTGTTATAATTACCATATCTTTAGTATGTAAAGCTCTAAATATGAAAGCACGCATGGATTTTTTATAGTTTTTAAATGCCTCCCAAATCAAGATGACAGGTTTAAAGAAAAGTAAAGGAAGGACAATGAAATTGTCTTAGGTTATGGTAAGTCTTACGTAATTTAATGAAACTTAGCCATGAACTTCAAAAGGGAGTGGCCAAAGTTTCTCTTTTAGCCAAAATAAATTAAGAATGTTACGTCATGAATCCTGTCACAGATAGGACAGAGACATCTTCAAAGAGAGGTTTTGAATTCTTTCGTTTATGGAATTAAATTTAAAAGATGGGCAATAGTACATTGATTGAATACGAAAGTTTTGGTTGTCATACTCACTCCTTCCGTTGACAGGGCATACTCTCTGCAAAAGGAAACTCAGGGTCACTCAGTGTTTAGATGTTTAGGGTTATTGGGAAATGCTCCAAACAGACTTGCATCGACTTCCAAAGTAAAACACTAATCATTGTCCCTAAATCTTGTGTATTCATAGCTGCAACACTGGCAACTGTACTCCCATTAGCAGATGAATATCAGACAGAAAACTTGCTCAAAGAATGCGAAGAAGTCCTCCGGAAGCACGTTGGGTCTGTCTCCGAGAGGGATATATATATACCACCATCGCAGGTCGTCACATACCTACGCTGGATCGAACAATATAATCTCAACAAAGTTGAAAAATGTGTTGTGAGATTAGCTTCGTTCCTAAAAACTGTAGAGGTACAGGCAGTTCCAGACTACATAAATGTCAGCAAAAGACTTCAACTGGATGTATCTAATGCCAGAGCCACGCTGCTTGATGGTCTAATGGTGTTCAATGTAACAGAAGCTGCAAGTAAGCCCATATATCTAGTTTAATTTGATGGAGAATATTTCACTAGGCATAACGCTAAAGGGGATAACAAGTTCGAAATTATTTATCGTGACAGTTTTACCAACAAAATAACGACAAACGTGTTTGGGCAAACTTTTAGACTAATTTTATTTGAATCAGCAATAAGCTTCCAGACCATCCCCATTCCATTTTTATTGAGAAAAGATAACAGAATAGAAATCAGCGACAGTATTCTGAGTGTAAAAATACATAGAGCCCAGACAGGGATTCTGGACTGAACTACTTTGCCTTGTAACTGTTTGTACGAAAAACTTCAGTAGGATTCTCTTTTGTTTTACTTGCATTTAGACAAAGATTTTTAAGGATCTGTTTGAAGCATTGGGGTGCACTGGATAGATAGTTTCTGCTCACTGTCAGTAAATTTTTCAGCTCGGTATGTGGAAGTTTATGAAATCTCAATTTCTGTCATGATAAAAAAAAAAAAGTCGCAATACTCTGTAACCATTAAAAATCCCGGGCCGCTAACCTTCGCTCTATGTTCTTATCAACTGGATAACAGCTTGTTAAAACCGGCAGTTCCTATTTGTCTAACAACAATATTTATATTACTTTTCCCGTTTCTACATGTACCACACTCGTTTCAAAGTTATAAAACAAAACGGAATTAAATTTTATTTTCTCAAGTGCCATAAAGATTTAGTGTAAATAATGCCACACATACTGCGATAGGCATTTTTATAAGGACGGTATTTCTTGTCATATCCTGGCACGCCTCTTCTGCTATCACAAGTTTGTATTTGTTAATCCTGCTTCATTTATAAATTAAAGGGTCGGTTAGTATACCACGTGACGTAATAAATCTAAATAAATAAGATGAAAGCACGTTTATTGCGTGAACATTACCCCTGACCCTGTCGAACAATTAATCACCAATTCGTTGGATTCCACTCTTGTGACATATCATGAATTCGTTATGCATGATAATAACGTAAACATGGCTTCAACCCTCAGCGCGATGAGATATGTAGCAGTCGGGACAAAGCTTTCTACATTTATACTTTACATATATGTAAGTCTTTGGAAGTTTAGATATGTGCATACCTATATTCTTATAAGTTTATGAACTCTATTACTTTGCGGCACGGTAAAGTTAGCGACAAATGCACCAATGAATGTACCTTTTTGCGTTAAGAAAGTATTAGTTATGATGTTCATTGTTAAATCAAGGTATGATGTTGTTTGAATTACCCTTTATATTTTCATGTTGATTGTATTTCCTTTCAATTATATTTAGTAAGTTATTTTGCTGTTGTTTTTGCTATTGCAGGAAAAATAAAGGAATTCCAAATCCCTCTCTCTACGTGCTATATGACTGAATGGAAAAGAAATGTAGAAGAAATTGTGAATATCTATCTAGCATTATCAACACTACCAGACGATGCTTTTTCAAGTAAACGGTGGAGCATCCCAGCGCGTGAATTTTTGGAACGTATTGACTTTTCCTCGATTGCGTACAAGTCGCAGTACAAACCAACGATTGGTGCTAATGACGCATGTAAATATTTACGTGATACATTCAAACTCTCGAAAATCCAAAGCAAAGCTTGGAACTATTTAAGTAACTGCATACTTACGGTGGATATTTCCAATAATCTTTGATCAGTACATTATTCGAAACATAACCGATAATGCACGTGCTAGTAAAGAACGACACTTGCTTGGAATTTGCTTTAAATCGTGAATTTAAACATTTGTATACAGACTGTATACATATAAAATATTCGCATCAGGTACTCAAATCATAAAACATTTACGTCTTATGATGAAGTGACTATATCATGATGCGTTGGTCTGTTTGTTTGATTGTAACTATAAACGAAGTGTTTCTCCTGACTCTTGATATGTAAGAAACATGTGTCTTATACTTAGCATTTATATGGGGCACGTCTCTCTCTTACCCTGTACAGGTGTATACACACACTTGCCGTTGTAAGATATACTTTGCTCTTACCCTGGACAGGTATATCCACACTTGCCGTTGTAAGATATACTTTGCTCTTACCCTGTACAGGTGTATACACACACTTACCGTTGTAAGATATACTTTGCTCTTACCCTGGACAGGTAACTCCACACACTTGCCGTTGTAAGATATACTTTGCTCTTACCCTGGACAGGTGTATACACACATTTGCCGTTGTAAGATATAATTTGCTCTTACCCTGTACAGGTGTATACACACTTATGCCCAGTGTGAGATATCCTTGTCACTCCCTAGAATTGAGACGGGGGTTCCCCTATTCAAAACAATGGTATGACGTCACGTCAACCATGCAATGACGCCACGTCAACAATGCATCAACGTCACGTCAACCCTGAATTTAGCCTGAAAGGTTGACACTACAATATGCATCTGATACACAGATTAAGAGAAAAAGAATAATTCACCCCCTTGAGGGTGAGCTGGGGGAATGTCAACCCTCGATAAAAAAAAATCCACGATCACTCCTCCAAGGGGGTGATAAATTCTTTTATTCTCTCTTATAAGACAGAGATAACGATGCAATTACGTCAAATC